ACCCACTCCGACCCCAACTCCCGCTCCGACTCTTCCGGCTCCGACTCCTCTTCCGACTCCGACTCCGACTCCGACTCCGACGACTCCGACTCCGACTCCGACTCCTCTTCCGACTCCGACTCCGATTCCGGCTCCGACTGCTCCGACTCCGACTCCTCCTCCGACTCCGACTCCATATCCGATTCCGACTCTTCCGACTCCGACTCCGACTCCGACTCCAATTCCGATTCCTCCGACTCCGATTCTTCTTCCGACTCCGACTCCGACTCCAATTCCGACTCCTCCGACTCCGACTCCTCCTCCGACTCCTCCGACTCCGACTCCTCCTCCGACTCCGATTCCGACTCCACTTCCGACTCCTCCTCCTCCTCCTCCGACTCCGACTCCGATTCCAACTCCGACTCCGACTCCGACTCCTCCTCCTCCGACTCCGACTCCGACTCCTCCGAATCCGACTCCGACTCCTCCTCCGTTTCCGACTCCGACTCCAACTCCGTCTCCGACTCTTCCGACTCCGACTTCGACTCTTCGTCCGACTCCGACTCCCACTCCCGCTCCCACTCCGACTCCTCCGACTCCGACTCCTCCTCCGACTCCAACTCCGACTCCGACTCCGACTCCTCCGACTCCGACTCCGACTCCTCCTCCGACTCCACATCCGACTCCGATTCCGACGACTCCGACTCCAACTCCGACTCCAACTCCGACGACTCCGACTCCGACTCCGACTCCTCCTCCGACTCCGACTCCGATTCCGACTCCGACTCCGACTCCGACTGCTCCGACTCCGACTCCGACTCCGACTCCGACTCCATATCCGATTCCGACTCCTCCGACTCCGACGACTCCTCCGACTCCGACTCCAATTCCGACTCCTCCGACTCCGATTCCTCCTCCGACTCCGACTCCGACTCCAATTCCGAATCCTCCGACTCCGACTCCTCCTCCGATTCCGATTCCAACTCCGACTCTTCCGACTCCGACTCTTCCTCCGACTCCGATTCCGACTCCAACTCCGACTCCGACTCCTCCGACTCCGACTCCTCCTCCGACTCCGACTCCAACTCCGACTCCGACTCCGACTCCTCCTCCTCCGACTCCGACTCCGACTCCTCCGAATCCGACTCCGACTCCTCCTCCGTTTCCGACTCCGACTCCGACTCCGACTCCTCCGACTCCGACTCCGACTCCTCGTCCGACTCCGATTCCGACTCCGACTCCGACTCCGACTCCAATTCCCATTCCGACTCCTCCGACTCCGACTCCTCCTCCGACTCCGACTCCAACTCCGACTCTTCCGACTCCGACTCCGACTCCGACTCCTCCTCCGACTCCAACTCCGACTCCGACTCCGACGACTCCGACTCCTCCTCCGACTCCAATTCCGACTCCGACTCCTCCGATTCCTCCTCCGACTCCGATTCCGACACTCACTCCGACTCCTCCGACTCCGACTCCTCCGATTCCGATTCCAACTCCGACTCTTCCGACTCCGACTCCTCCTACGACTCCGACTCCGACTCCGACTCCTCCGACTCCGACTCCGACTCCCCCTCCTCCGTTTCCGACTCCGACTCCGACTCCGACTCCGACTCCTCCGTCTCCGACTCCTCCTCCGACTCCAACTCCGACTCCGACTCCTCCTCCGACTCCGACTCCAACTCCAACTCCGACTCCTCCGACCCCGACTCCGACTCCGACTCCGACTCCAATTCCGACTCCTCCGATTCCTCCTCCGACCCCGACTCCGACTCCGACTCCGACTCCAATTCCGACTCCGATTCCTCCGATTCCGACTCCTCCGACTCCGACTCCTCCTCCGACTCCGACTCCGACTCCAGCTCCGACTCCTCCGACTCCGACTCCGACTCCGACTCCTCCTCCGACTCCGACTCAAAATCCGATTCCTCCTCCTCCTCTTCCTCCTCCTCCTCTTTTCTTTCCTCTTCCTCCGCCTGCACGTCCTCGTCCTCCTCTTCCTCCTCCTCCTCCTCCACCTCCTCCTCCTCCTCCTCCTCGCCCGTCCTCCTCATCCTCCTCATTTTCCTCATCCTCCCGCTTTCCTCCCTTCTCCCCCTCCCTTCCCCCTCCTCCTCCTCCTCCTCCTCCTCCTCCTCCTCCTCCTCCTCCTCTTCGTCATCCTCCTCTCACCTTCCTCCTCCCTCCTTTTCCCTCCTTCCACCTCCGATCATCTGATGCTGCTGTTGCTCCTCCTCCTCCTCGGGTTGCTCTTCTTCTTTTTCTTATTATTATTATTATTATTATTATTCTTCTCCTCCTCCTCATCATCCTCATCCTCCGCCTCTTCCTCCTCCAGGGAGGGTTTGCGACGTTCCGTAGGTCTGTTGGCGGAGCTGGGTTTTACAGTCTATCGTTCTTCCTCGCGCTCCTCTGTGAGTGCTCGCGTTCGTGGTCATTCATGGCGCACTCATGCACACGTTAGCTGTACACCACATCTCTTCGCAGCCGTCCGACGGGAAAACTCCTACGACTCCAGCTGCTGCTGCTGCTGCTGCTCCTCCTCCTCCTCCGGGGTCCACCTCATCCAGAGTCCTCCTCTCCCTCCTCCTGCTCCTTCTCAGGCTGACTCTCCTGCTGCTGCTCCTCCTCCTCCCGCTTCTTCTCCTCCTTCTCCCCCGATTGGCCCGTTGGCTCTACCACGACCCCCAGCGGCTCAGCCGAAGAGGATCCGCCGAACAGGACTTCTGCCGAAGCGGATCTGCCGAAGAGGCTCTGCCGAAGCGGCGTCTGCCGAAGCGGCCCTGCCGAAACGGCTCTGCCGAGGCGGCTCTGCCGAAACGGCTCTGCCGAAGCGGTGTCTGCCGAAGCAGTCGTCTGCCGAAGCGGTTCTGCCGAAGCGGTCTGCCGAGACGGACTTGCCGAAACGGTTTGCCGAAACGGTTCTGCCGAAACGGACTTCCGCCGACGCGGACTTGTACCTCATTACCCACCTTTCTATCGATCTCACGATCGATCGTACTATCGATCTCGCAATCGATCCCACAATTGATCGCACGAGCGATCTCACGAGCGATTTCAGTATCGATCTCACTGAATCGACATCACCATCCGTCCCACGACCGACCAAACTATCGTCCTCATCGATCCCACTATCGATCTCACAAACGATTTCCATATCGAAATCATTTACTTCCTAACCATCCGCTGATTGGGTTTTCTCTGATGTACTTGAAAGATTTGGCGAAACTGCCCGGCCGATTCTGGTGGGCGGCCAGGATCCTGGGTTCCCGGTTCTGGGTTCTTCTGTTCTTGCTTGTTGGTTCTGGGCCGATTTCGGTGGGCGGCGAGGTTCCCGGTTTTCGGGGTTCCTGGGTTTTTGGTCGATATTTCTATCGATCGGCCTCACCATCGATCTCACTACCTATTGCGCTCTCGATCTCACTACAGTTCGCACGAGTGATCTCACGATCGATCTCGCTGAATCGACTTCACGATGAGTCTCGCGATCGAACTTTTTACCGCCCCCACTACCGATTCTGTTCATCTCACAATCGATCTCAACATCCACACGATTGATTGCCGACCATCCACTGATCGGTTCTTTCGCTGGTGCAATATATCGAGAAAGATTGCATTCCCTGCTTCGCACTACCACCTGGTTCAGCTTCGGTGCTGAGAGCACTGCCGGGCTTTGCGTCTCATGGCGATTCGCGACATTGTTTATACAGCCAGGAACAGGCACAAAAGACGCACCTTGGGCGTTCTTGCAGACATTCGTGAACATAACGGCAGGTCCCGGACCAATTTCCCATGACGAGGAGTTCGAGACGAGCCAAAACTTATTTGCAGCCATGCGCGTAGACGGCGAACATATGGCAGGAGTCGAGAACAGCATTGACAAGTACGTCAAATGTGTATTAGGTCCGTTCAGAGCTTGTAAGCTCAACGTGCAGCGCTACGCAAACTGCACCGCGCGATACGTCGAGACCGAGGACGACCACGTCCAGCTTGACCAAGATTCAGCAATTTCGCCCCATGCTACACCCAGAACTGACTGGAGCTGGAGCCGAAAAACAAATAACGGCAAACGTGTAAAATTGTCATTCGGTTACGTGGAGCTTTAGCATGCGCCCTGATCACCCAAGTGTATTTAATGGTGAATGTGGTCTGTATACCACGTGTCCAATATCCGACCTGCATACAAGTGCGTCGATTCAACGCCGCAACACGAAACCTGCGACAAGGCTTGAAGACAGTTATACACCACGCTAGGACTCCGACGGGAGGGGTGGGCCTACATAGCGACCCCGGCTATCATCGCCTCATTGGCGATGCCGACGACGTAGTTCAGGGGCATGGCATCCGAGATGCCAGCCCACTACTGCGTGGACACACGCCTGGCGGAAAAGCAGTCGTTCATCTTGTAGATGAGGACTGGACATCAATGCTCTTGCATGCGCGTTCTAGCTAATCCGCCAGCAGCAGCCCGCAATTTGGAGGATTGCCACCCAACCGTAGTCACGTTACACGAGCTACTGGACCATTTCTTCCGACACAACTCAAGAACATAAGATAAACATGTGGCGTAGTTGCATCATTGTTGTATTTTCCATCCCCGCCGAATATGTATTCCAGTGCTTATTTGGTAAGGGTCTTAAGAAGCTTATTGGGTGTACCTGTCTTGGCCACGTAAGCTGGAGTCGACACATGGTGCGAATCTGTATCGTGCTTCGCATGCAGTGGTGTGATATGAGTGATATGTAGGCCGATGGACATGTCAAAGTTTGCATTGGTCGCGGTTTTCTTTACAAGTGATCGCAGGCATCCAATCAACAAGTTCGAGGTTGAGCGACACACATCGTTCAGGGCCAACCAGTCAACATGTTCTGAGCCCGTCTCACATCTGGCCGGTGGACGGGGCATGTTAGTTGGCATGGCCACGTGCCGATTGCTGTCCGGCCACGGGCTTTTTGTTTTGAAAGTCTTGCGCATGATGATATTTGCGGACACCCGTCCATATTGCAAGTTCGGTGGGCCCGATGCTCAACTGGAGCAGCGAGGTCGCCCTCCGTGCGCGCGCTGTTGCGCCAGCTCCACGGTGGGACTTCGTGTGGTTGGCCCTGTGTTGCAGTGTCTCACATGGTGCATATTGACGTGGTTTGGCGCTTGGTTCCCCCCTCCTGAGTCTTGAACGGAGGTCAAAGGCGAGCATCGCGAGCACCGTACCTACGTCCGCCGCCGTTTGTATCTCAAGCGGCGCGCCATTAGAATTTGACTACTTCGCTCTTGAGGCACAGTCGCGTTTGAGCAACGGAAAGAGTGTCGATCCTGATCCGTCGATGGTGCACTTTCCCGTCCCATCTTTTTATCACCCTACTACCTGCGATGGCTAAGCTATGGGATACAATCGTACGGCTTCGGCGCAATATATGGCACGGGTTACCATGCCCGTTTCGATTTTGAGAGCGCCCGATTTCGCCCGGGAATTGCGTGGTCTGGACCCTGAGGAATTTCACGCGTCTTTCCGAATTGCATGACCAGTGAGAATTGCATGAGCCCTGGGACATTCCTTTACGTGCTGAAGGCACGGTGGCGGATTGCTGATCTATGGAATCGGTTCCTGGCACTGTCGCCTCGACGCTGGCTGCGTTCTCTTTGAAGCCGAGGTTCCCGTTCGAGCGTGCGCTTGGGGACCAATGTGTGCTGTCGGAGGCCCAACGACCACGACAACGGCTCTCGTTTGATGTCCGCTCGCAATTTACTCCGAGACCCATGTCCAGCAAGGGTCCCGGACGGCGTTTTCGCTCAAAGTTTCCTCGCGGTTCGATCGATTTGTTGGGGGCCCAATAGCGACGATCACGGCTCCAGCCTCGACAGGTCTTCCCAATTTACTCCGAGACGCCTTGGTCAAAAAGGGTCCCAAACTCAAAAAAAAATCTCGTTCGAAGCTTCCTCGCAGTTGATTCAAGTTGCTGGAGATCCACATGCGACGACAACAGTTCCCGCTCGATTCGTCTTCACAATTTTCGCCGAGACGCCTTGGCCATATGCATCATCACACTCAAGAATAACACTCTCGCCCAACACGCACTCACAATTCATTCAATTTTGTGAAAGCCGCTCCCGCTCGATACGTTCTCGCAGTCTACTCCGAGACGCCGCGGAGACCCCCAGAGTCAAAAGTGGTGCTCTCGACCAGCATTTTCCGCAATTCGCTCAACTTGGCGAGCTGCCCGCGAGCGCAGTAGCTCGCGTGACGGCCATGTCGGCGCGGTGCGCACACAGAATGCACTGCCGAAGTGCTTCTCCCAGGCGTTGGTGTGAAAAGAACATCCCCCCGAGCGGGGGGTGGGCTCCCGAACGTGGTGGGCGGGTACATGGGAGAGGACGAAACACATGAAGGTCAAAGCAGCTTGTCATGTCAACGTTCGTGAGATGGTCGTCGTCGTCGTCGTCGTTGTCGCCCTTCTCGTTGTCATCGTCGTCGCCGCCGTCGCGGCCGCAAGACGGGGCACGCGCCGCTGCACATCGCCGCCGGCCAGAACCCTGGGGTGGAGGTGGCCCGCCTGCTTGTGGACAGCGGCATGGCACAGGTGCGCCTGCAGACTTGCGAAGGACGGCCGACCCGGGCGCGGCTCGGCGTCGACGCCGTCGCCGTCGCGGTCGTGGTCGTCGCCGTGGTGATCGTCGCTGCCGTCGTTGTCGTCGCCGGTTGTGTCAGAGGCAGGCGATGTGAGATAACGGTGGTGGGCCTTCGGGAAGCCTTGGGTCGGCCATGGTTGGACGCAGCTCGGAAAATTGCTGCGCTTGGACCCCGGTTTCGAGTTGCCGTTGTGCCAACTCACCCTGCTCCGACTTTGGTGGTGGTGCCCGTCGAGGTGGTCGCCTTCGTCGGCGTGCTGTCGTCGTGGTGGTCGCCGCTTTGGTATTCGCCGCCGTCGTTGCCTTCGTCGTTCATCCACACCCCAGGTGGGGCAGTTTCGGAGGGCGGGCCTCAGACGGCTCCCACATCTTACAGTCAAGCCGCTGAAATAAGGACCGCTTCACATGAGGGGCTCTGGGTATCGGGCCGTTCTTGAGACCTAGGTCGTGGAACCTATTCATGGCCGAGGCTCGCTGTATCCAGGAATGCCGCCACGTTCCTTATCTTGGAAAGAGCGTGTTCTACCGCTGCGGGCGGAAAACCGGGGGGAGCACTGGGGGTTCCCAACCCATCCCCCCCCTTCAAAAACCACGGGGGGGGGGGTCACCAGTCCATCATGAAAAGGGAGGGGGGTCACTACCGGTTCGAAACCCCCCCCGGTCTATCATGAAAAGGGAGCCCCTAGGGGGGTCACTACCAGTTCGAACTCCCCCCCCCCCCCCTCGAAAACCGGGGGGGGGTCACTACCGGTTCGAACCCCCCCCCTCGAAAACCGGGGGGGGGGTCACTGCCGGTTCGAACCCCCCCCCTGCGCCGCGGGCAAACATATTTCCGCTTCTCGGGACAGTTGAACAATGGTGGGGATGCTGGGACAGTGGTGGGAACGGTGGTGGTGGGGACAGCGGTGCGGGGACAGTGGGACAGTAGTGCGGACAGTGGTGGGGACGGTGGTGGTGGGGACAGTGATGAGGGGACAGCGAGACAGCGAGACAGTGGTGGGGACTGGGACAGTAGTGGGGACGGTAGTGGTGGCAACATGGGTGAAGGCGGTGGTGAGGACAGTGGTGGGACAGTAGTACAGTAGGGAAAGTGGTGGGGACAGTGGGACAGTGATGGGGACAGTGGGGACGGTGGGACAGCACAGTGGGACAGCGGCGGGGACAGTGGGACAGTGGTGGGTACAGTGGGGACAGTGGGACAGTGGTGGGGACCGTGGGGAAAGTGGGGAGAGACGGCGGTAAGATAATGGGACAGAGGTGCAGTGGGGACAGTGGTGGGGACAGTGGTGGGAACAGTGGGACAGCTCAGTGGGGCAGCGGCGGGGACCGCGGGACAGCGGGACAGTGGGACAGTGGGGACAGTGGGACAGTGGTTGGGGCCGTGGAGAAATGGGGAGAGTGGAGCCGTGGTGGGAACAGCGGTGGTGACAGTGGGGACAGTGCGACAGTGGTGGGGGCACTGGTGGGGACAGTGGGGACGGTGGTGGGAACAGCGGGGACAGTGGTGGTGAGGACAGTGGTGCTGGGGACAGCAGTGGGGGATGTGGTGCGGACGGCGGTAGGTACCTGGGAGTCGTTTGCTGGCGGTGGGCCTGGGAGGGAGGGGGAGGGGTTCGAATCGGTAGTGAACCCCCCGGTTTTCGAGGGGTGGGGGGGGGGTCGAACAGGTAGTGGCCCCCCCCCCCCGGTTTTCGAGGGGGGGAGGGGTTCGAACCGGTAGTGACCCCCCACGGTTTTTCGGAGGGGGGGGGAGGGGTTCGAACCGATAGTGACCCGCCTCTGGTTTTCTGGGGTGGGGGGGGGGTCGTACTGGTAGTGACCCCCCCCCCCGGTTTCCCGGGGGGGGTCAGGGGAGGGAGTGGGTTTTGCCGGGGGGGAGGGGGTGGGTCCAGCAGGGGAAGGTTTTCGAAGGGGGGGGGGGAGACCCACGGGTTCCGAAGGAAGAGGGGGGGGTATGTCCCACGGTAAAGCAGCGGTAGATCACGCTCTCTCTTATCTTGGGTTCTTCATGGTAGCACGATGACTGTAGAAGGCGCGGGCCCTCCTCGAGGCGGATTGGGCGCTGCATCAGGCAGTGCATCCCGACGGGGGGGAGAGCAGGCGAACTATGAGGCCCGAAGACGTTGTCCGTTCTCTTTCGTGTATGGCGCGAGACATGCGTTCTTTCCTGTCAGGAGGCATGACCTCGGAGGCGACCGTCGTTGGAGGGTGGGCTGAGGAGGAGGAGGAGGAGGAGGAGAAGGAGGAGGAGGGGAATGACGGTCTTGGCTCGCCAGCATTGCCGTCCCTCTTGCAATACATCGTGGCATGGCCAGCGCAGCCAGCGGTTCGCCGCTTGCCCCTGCCCCGATCTTTGTTGCGCGTTGTCTTGTGCTGATACCCAAGATACTTACAGCGGCCGCCTCCTGGTCCGCCCATCATTTGGGGGCTGGAGGCCCGATGAACTTCACTGGAGGCAGTCATTCCGCTGGCTCTATTTTTGCATGAATCCAGCCGCTGCGTCTGCAGGCTGGGGTGCAGCAGCGCTTCATCCAGAGTTAGGTGCGGTAGATTCGCGTCGTGCCGACTAATGGCTACCCCGCCGCCAGCGTTCAACGTTGAACGCCACGGGCGACCGAGAATCGGTCGATGTTGAACGATTTGACGTTTCGGACACGGCCGATCGTTCAAGACTGAACGCCGAAGTCGGCGCGGCACGAACCTTCAGTATTGTTGTTGCTCGTGTCTTGGGGCCCGTGCTGGACTTCATGCAGTGTGCCAGTGCTGCGGAGCTGCTGGCGGTGGTCCATGCTCTCCGCTGGGCGGTCCCGCCTGCCCGCACATTCACCGATTCTCGGTCTGCGTTCCACAGGTTGCACGAGCGAGGCCGTCTCAACACGTATGCCCCCCTGCTTCCGCTCGCGCTCACAATTGGTGCATGTCCTGGCACCTGGTCGACGAGTGGGGTGACGTCGGAATCATTGAGGTGAAGGGGCATGCTGCGCAGGTTGACGTCAGTCTTGGGCGCCGCACGGCCCGCCACAAGGCTGGAAACGAGCAGGCCGACGAGACGGCCAGAGGTGCTGCCGAGTCTGGCAGCATTCGACCCTCCCAGCGTGGCCAGTTGCGTCCCCGAGTCAAGGCGCCTCGGACGCGTGGGCACCGCGTGGGGCGGAAGGGGGGCGACCAAGCAGGCCAAGGGCAGGCCTCCCGTGCACGTTCCTCGGCGCCTCCCGGTTCCGAGCCCCAGGACGTTGCGAGTCGGACCGTGAGGTCGCAGAGTCGACTGGGTGACGGCGGCAGGCGGCATGCGCTCCCCAGACTCCAGCTCCAGGAAGGCCCGCTCCTGGTCGGGTGCACACGCGGCGCCAGTTGCACCACCTCCCGAATCCGGTCCCTGGCCCTCCCGTGCCGTGCGCGTGCGTCTGGCTGGGGGCTCCAAGGTTCTGAGGCGCCACGGGGGAGCTCGGGCTCGGGCTCCGTGCCCATCGGGCCCTCCATGCCGAGCGTGTTTCTTTCAACAGTCCCCATGAGGCCTCTGGAGGACAGCTTTTTCTTCGGCACGATGTGGCCCGGGGATGGATCCTCGTTTGTCTGCTCTGAGCATCTCTGTTCGAGCCTGAAGGCGCTCGCCCCTCCGGCTTCTTTTTCGAGGCGGATGGTGGCGGCAGCGGTCGCGACAAAAAGGGGGGTGCGCCACCCGCCCGCTTCTTCGTGGTGGACAGGTTATGTCTGCTTCAGCTGTGTGCACAGGATTCGGGCATGGAGTACAAGAATGATGTTGTTGGTGGTACTGGTGATTGTGATGGGTGATGTGTGATGGTGATGGTGACAATGATATTGATGATGCTGATGATGGTGGTGGTGATGGTGATGGGTGATAGTGTCGATGATGATAATGATGGTGATGATGATGACGACGACGATGAAGATGACGATGACGATGAAGATGACGATGACGATGACGATGATGATGATGATGATGATGATGATGATGCTGATGAGGATGCTGGTGCTGATAATGATGGTGCTGATGCTGCTGATGATGATGATGCTGGTGCTGATGATGATGGTGCTGATGCTGCTGATGATGACGATAATGACGCCGGTAAACGATGACGATAGCGATGATGACGGTGATGATGCTGAGGATGAGGATAGGATGAGGATAAGGATGAGGATGATGATAATGATGATGGTAATGATTATGATGATGATGATGATGATGATGATGATGATGAGTATGGTTTTGCCGCTGCTGATGATGAGTATGATGAGTGTTATGATGATGACGATGATGATTATTATGATAGTGATGATGACGATGACGATGACGACGCCGATGGCGATGATGATGATGATGATGATGATGTTGATGCTGATGCTGATGATGATGATGTTGATGATGATGCTGATGATGTTGTTGATGCTGATGATTGTGATGATGATGACGATGATGATGATTCTTATGATGGTGATGATGACGATGACGATAACGATGCCGATGGCGATGATGATGATGATGATGATGATGATGATGATGATGATGATGATGATGTTGATGTTGATGATGATGCTGATGATGATGCTGATGATGATTATTTTGATGATGATGATGATGATGATGATGATGATGATGATGATGATGATGATGATGATGATGACGATGCTGCTGATGATGATGATGATGACGATGATGATGATGGTGCTGATGACGATAATGGTGAGATGGTGTGCGAGGGGGGGCGAAGGAGGAGGATGATGAAGTGGAGGATGCTGGTATGGAAGAAGGAGATGAGGATGGTAGGAGGAGGGTGGCGGGGAGGAGGACTTCGACGATAAGGACGAGGAGGATGTCGTGGACCCAGAGAATGAGCGGAGCCAGGCAGAGCCTGAGTGGGCCCAGGGGATCCAAAACCTACATGTGATACTATGCTGTGTTTCTAGACTGTCTTGTTACGATGCCAGTCGATTTAAGTTTGTTGTATTTCAAAACAGAGGAGAACCTGAGTAAACCCAAGATCCATCATCGATGCTGCAATACACCCCACTGTGCGAAGTTTCCTCCTCACAAGTCCCTACAAGCCGTCCTCTTTCGGAGAAAAAACGCCCCTTGAAAGATCAGTACCTTGTGGGCCTGCCATTCGGAGGCGTCCCACAGACGAAACCATACATTTCAACGAGGCGTCCCACGAGATCCCCCATCTGTCGCGCACAGGCTTGGACTGCTGGTCACGCACTTCGATGAAGTCGCAAGCGAGCGTTCCACTTTGAAACGGAACCGCCTGCAGCTGCTACATGTGTTCAAGTCTCTAGTCTTTCAGTTAAAAAGAAGTCCCAAGCGGAAAAAGCGCCGTCATCCATCCGTGTAGCAGTTGCAAGGCAAATTTCCAAGATGAGTGTGCGAAGGCGATCGCCTCGTTTGAAAGAACCACCATCCATCCTTGAAGCATTGGTATTTTGTATGACGAAAGTGCGCGGCGCTAAGGCAAGAACCCCATTTTGAAAACCACCCCCTGTATCTGTGAAGCTGCTGCGAAATTGTAAGACGAATGCGCGCGGCGCTACGGAGAGAAACCCATGTTGAAAACGATCCCATCCAGCCTTTCAAGCACTGCGAATTTCAAGCGTCAGGACACACTTATGATGAGGAAGTCTCAGGCGAAGCGCCTGGGCCGCCTTAGCGGCACGTCTAGGGGTGCGACGCAGAGAGTTCATTCTTCATGAGGGAAAGAGAGGAGGAGGGGGTGCAGGATGAGTTGGAGGACGGAGGAGGAGAGAGAAAGGAGATGCGAGGAGGATGGAGCAGGAAGAGAAGGAAGAACAGGAGGAGGAGGAGCAGGAGGATCTGAACCAGCTTGTCCGTAATGCTTTTAACGCCCAGGGAAGGCGTCCTGGACTTCGCAATCGGTTGCCCATCGTGGCCCCCGATCGTGGCCCCCCATCGTGAATCGTGAAAGCTGTTGACGGCCTTCTGCCGCAAGAGTGCCGTTTTGTCGGCGGTTCGGGCTCATCGGGCTCCCTTGTGCCCAAGTCGGTCCGCCGTGTCCCAGCGCTTGCCTCGACCGCTTCGCGCGTTCGCCGGGTCCGAGGCATCTTCTCTGCGTCTTCGGCGCTCGGGGCCCTCTCTCTTGAGGCCTCCGGCCCTCCGGGAGCTCCCGGCCGTGCCGCGCCGGGGGTCAGGCAGGCCCAGGGCCTGCCCAGGGCAGTCCTCGTCCTCTCCTCGTCCTCTCCTCGTCCTCTCCTCGTCCTCTCCCTCGTCCTCGTCCTCTCCTCGTCCTCTCCTCGTCAAAAGCAAGTGGAGACGCTGTCCAAGGTCGAGGCGCCCGATGGTTCGGGCACTTGTCGGAACACGTGTCTTGTGGATGAGGACAGATCGCTCCAGAAGCGGTCCAGGACGCCCCCCAGAGTGTGCGGACTGCTTCGAGACGGGCGCGGCGCCCGAGACATCCTCTGGACCCGTTGGCTCTCAGAGGTCCTCGGTTCACCGTCGTCCTCTGCGGCCACTTGCGAACCCCTACCCCTGTGGCTCCAATCGACTCCGAGGTATGGGACGCCCCCGTTGGGGTGCACTGGGCTGCAGACGTCCTTCATCCTTGGAATTTTGAACCCTGGCTGGCGTTTCGAGGATCCGACCTGCGTGGGGTAGGGTCTGCGTGTGGCTGCCTACCGTCAGAATGTATCCTCGTCAAAGTTTATCGTCTGCCTGCCCATCCTGTTTTAGGGTAGGGTTTCTCCTGGGGGGGATTTATCCTCATCCTGGCTTCGTCTCGGGGTGCGGCCCCAGGCCGGGGAGGGGGGGAGGGCGCCCGCCGCGGGGCCAGGGCACGCGCCGCTGCACGTGGCGGCGCGCGGCGGGCACCTGGAGATGGCTCGCGCCCCCGCCGGGGCTCGAGGTTCGAGGATTCGAGGGGGGAAGGGCAGAGGGGGCTCGAGGTTCGAGGTTGGAGGTGTTCGGACGTGTTCGTCGGTCTTCGCCGGCTTGCCAGCCTCGGGACGCGTTCCAGCAGCTGCGGCTCGCCGAGAGCGTTCGGTGGGTGCCAGAATCGTCCCGAACGGGACACCGGATGACCGAGCTCTTGCCCCAAAGCCACCACTCTGACTTGGGATCCGCCCTGCCTTGGGCGATTTTGTAAGTTGGGCGGGTTCTTTCCGCCCTGCTGTTCAGGTTCCTTTGATGCCGATTTCCGCCCAACTTTGCCGTCGCTGTGTCCCGCCGTGCTATTACGGAAATGGCCGCCCTTTTTCAGAACAGGAAAAAACACATAAACACAAAGGGTTTTATTGGTTTTACGCCAGAAGGGGGCGTCGTTGAGAGGGTGCCTGGCACGGATGCGGGGATCGGGGTGGCGTCGGTGTTTGGAGCTGGCGGTTTGCGTGGCAAGTGCATTTAGCTGGTCGCATGTGTTCGGAACGCGTGACGGGTGGAAATGCCGCTAATCAGCAATTGGCAGTTTTCTGCCCGCGGGCCAGAATCGTCGCGCGCTCGCAACGGGGTGTGGGAAAGGGGGTTGGGAAGAGAGCGCGAGTGGTGGCGGTCGAGTTTTTCCACCACCACCACCACTACTAAGCTGTGCATCCGTATGGGCGCGTGGGCAAGTCACACCAAACGCGCGCTTGTGCCAGGAGAACCGACATACGCACGCCAAACGGGTCCGCGATTCAGTCTGCCAAGCGCAAAGCCATTGCGATGACGACGACGAAGATGGATGATGATAAAAGGAAACCTACCGATATTTAGTCATTACCTAACAGCGAAGACTGATAGGTTTCTAGTTGACTCAAAAGAGCTCACAGATCACTCCACAGGGGGGTCCGGGCAGGTGTTGGGGAGTTGCCGGGCGGCAGGGTGCCGGGCTCGTTTTTCACCAACAGTCACACACTTCGTGCTCTTCGACTTCCCAGAACTCCATTCCCAGGCCACATTCTGAATACCCGGATGCAACAGTCACACACTTCGTGTTCTTCGAGATCCCAGAACGCCATTCCCGGGCCACATTTAGAATAACCAGATGCAACAGTCACACACTTCGTGCTCTTCGACATCCCAGAACGCCATTCCCGGGCCACATTCTGGAGGGCCGGATGCAACAGTCACACACTTCGTGCTCTTCGAGTTCCCAGAATTCCATTCCCGGGCCACATTTTGGATGCCCGGAGCCAACTGTAGGCCACTTCCTGGTCTTCGAGTTCCCAGAACTACATTCCCGGGCCACATTTTGAATAGCCAGACGCTTCGTAGTCCTTCCGCCACAGCCGTGTTTGGTTCAGGAATTGCTAGTGACACTGCAGTCCACTGCATTCAATCGTGCCACTGCATTCACTCACTGCAGTCCACTCAGTTTCGATTGCAATGGCGTTCCCCTGGCCGTACCCCCATACCCAACGTTCATCCGCAGCCTCTGCTCCGCGAGGCTCGTCCGAAGTGTCGCCGCCTCGCGGTGCTTCTCAGCCTGCGCCGCCTCGCGGTGCTTCTCAGCCTGCGGAGGAAGGTGGACAGACGCCTGGCTCTGGCGCTGTGCAGCCTGCGTCTTTCACGGTCGCCTCGTTCAATTTCGGGTTCGAGCAGGGCATGATGACTGGTAAGCAGGCGGCCACTCACTGCGCTAACTTCGGAAGGGTGTGCGCCACGATAGTGGAGACCGCTGATGCTGATATTGTCTGTGGCTGCGAGGTCGGTGCGTTCCGTGAAGGCTTTCGCCGAGCAGGGATCAACGTGACAGAGATCCTCAGTAAGCCTTTCGGTGATGGCATTCGCTTCTCGGAGGTCGACAACTACTTGACTCTCTGGGGGTTCCGCGGTGCTTCTCAGCCTGCGGAACTGACTCTGTGCGAAGACAGCAAAGTTTACAGGCCTCCTAGCGGCCGAGAGATTGATGCTGTTATTTCACATTTTGAGGTGAACAAACCAGGCCATGACAAGTTCCACGTGGTGATCGCCAACATGCACATCGTGTGCGGCAAGAAACCGCCGACCATCCAGACTCGAAAGCGGACAGTTCGCAATCTCCGCTTGCACCTGGACTGCCTGGGAAAGATTCTTGAGAATCTGAGCCAGGCAGTCGTTCTGCTTGTAGTCGGCGACGACAACCTCACTTTCCAGGAGGCGCGGGAGGCTTACCAGCGCCAGCAGAACGACGAGAAGCTCTGGGAGGTCCATGCCACTCCGGCCGACCTCAAAGGCGACCACGTCGCGGTCTGCGGAGCAGTCGCCCGTTTCTGCTCCATTGCCGTTGGCGCGTCTTTTACGGATCGTGGCATGCGCAACGACGCACACGATGCGGTGGCGGTTGTGCTCACTCTCCCTGGTGCTATTCAGCCTGGGGAGAGCAAGAGGCGGAAGATTGTCGTCGAAAACGTCTCCGACGCCGACGTCAGCGTACAGGCGGACGCCGAGTCTTCTGTGCATTGGGATCGGTCGCCGAGTTCTACTCCTCCGCTTTCACCGACTTCACCGGGTGATCCCGACTACGTCGAGGATGTCGTTCAGAATCGCGCGAACGACTTGCACAGGGAGCTGAGGCAGCTTTGGGACGACAGGTACGACGAGGAGTACGATCCGAAAGTCCTCCATCATCTCAGTCTCTTGCTTTTCAAAAAGAGGAAGTCCACGGAGCCAGCGGACACTAATCCAGCTGGCGCTCCTCAGCCTGGCTCGGAATATGACGCGGCCTTTGCGTCTCAGGAGGAGACTGGCCGAGCCATTCTCTCTGTCCTTAAGCTTCGACATGACTTTCTGCGGAGCAAGAACATCGACGACATGCGCTACGTTCTCACGGAGCCTGAGCGCCAGGAATTGGTCAGAGTAGCTCGCGACCAGTACGAGCAGTCGCGGCAGCAGCGTGCGCTTCAGGAACGGGATGTCGAAAAGGGAAAAGCGAGAGGCAAGTCTGCGCCACAAGGGGGCCATGCGGTTCCGCAGGGTCCTAACAAAGGGCCAGGCGGTAAGAAAGGTTCTCACGGTGCTTCTCAGCCTGCGGGAAAAGGTGGCCAGGCCAAGGGTGCAGGTCTGGGTAGCGTCGCCAAGTTTGTGAAAGACCAGAAGCGTAAGCGGTGGCATCGCCATTTGCAACGTGTGGCCGGTACCAAACAGATCTGGGAGGTGCTGGCCTTCTCAGGGCGCTTCGACGTTGATTGGCTAACGCAAGCGTTGCAAGCTGATCACAGTGAGGGCCGTGATGCAGCAGTTCCCGAGGAAGCTCTGCGGCAACAGCGGCGCCGGCTGCACCACCAGAAGGCCGAGGCCATCGCGCGCTACAACGAGGGGGAGCGGCTTTCCCGCCATCTGTCTGCCCAGGCTGGCCAGCCAAAGCCGAACTTCACGCGCAGGCAGCTGGACGTGTTGCAGATGTTTGAGAGCGGAGCGCTGCTTCAAATCCGCAACCAAGCGATTCTGGCGTTGGGGCACGGCCGTCTGTTCAGGGCCGATGGCGACTACCTGGACATCGGCGGCAGCACGGGCGGTGGCTCCAGGAGCATCATCGATTCTTGGCAGCCGCCGGACTGGCGTGACTTCCTCCAAGACGATCAGGACATCTGAGTTTTGCAAGTCTCCCTGCCCGCGGTGCTTCTCAGCCTGCGGTCTGCCGCTCTCCAGCTGCGGTCTCGAGCAGTAGTGTTCGAAAGCATGCGAGTTCCTGCGGTGCTTCTCAGCCTGCAGGTTTCGCAGCTTGCGCTCTGCAGTACAAGTGCTTTTCAGCATGCGACATCCTGCGGTGCTTCTCAGCCTGCAGGGTTCGCAACGTGCGGTTTGCAATGCATTCCTTTTCAGTATGCGAGTTCCTGCGGTGTTTCTCAGGCTGCAGGGCTCCGAGGCTCTTCGCTTCGATGCCAATGTTTTCAGACACCGTAGCTCCGTTCCGTAAACATCTTCCAAGAACCGCTCGCAACCTTTTGCAGCTGGCGGTCTGCAGACGTAGTCTGTCTCAGCATGCGAGCTCCCGCACGCTTCGCCGGCTTTTGCTGCGCGGACAATTTTCTCACACACGTCAGCGCCGTTTGTAGGCGTCAGAAAAACATGTAGACATTCACGAAGGGCTCAGTCTGTATATCGTCACATCATTACATACGCAGTCGTCGAACACATCGGTGTACATTCAGCGCTTTGTCCTTCTAGCTGGGTCGCTTCGTGCTGAGGCTGAGGCTGATGCAGGCTGAGGCTGAGGCAGGCTGAGGCTGAGGCCGAGGCCGACGGCAGACTGAGGCTGAGGCTGAAGCAGGCTGAGGCTGAGGCAGAGGCAGGCTGAGGCTGAGGCTGAGGCTGAGGCAGGCTGATGCTGAGGCAGGCTGAGGCTGAGGCTGAGGCTGATGCAGGCTGAGGCCGAGGCAGGCTGAGGCTGAGGCCGAGGCCGAAGGCAGACTGATGCTGAGGCTGAAGCAGGCTGAGGCTGAGGCTGAGGCAGGCTGAGGCTGAGGCAGGCGGAGGCTGAGGCTGAGGCAGGCTGAGGCTGAGACTGCGACTGCGACTGCCGTTGCCACTGCGACTGTCATCGCGAATGCGACTACGACTGCGAGAGCAGCAGAATTCTACAACTGGATTCTCATCTGAATCTTAAGGGGAATGCTTCCAGATATGCTCCTACACATCGCTGTTAGGTTGCTTTGCCGGGATAATTTTGTACACTGCACTTCCCCAGCGCTGCCTTGGCCTCCCTCTTTTTCTGCGCACAGCCCATTGCTTAGGAACACCATAGCTATTGCAAAGTATGGTTTTGACCATGTTTGAATCGTTTCCGCTTGCAATCTTGCGATATAGCGCCACCTCCTTGTCCAATAGGATCTCAGGTAGAGGCGTCGCCCCAGCCTCAGACAACGGCACTGCTAACCCTTGAAAGGAAGGATGGCAGAATGCCCAAGATAAGTCTGACACATCTACAATGAAACGCGTCCAAGCGCGCCCTGTCCGCTCCGAGCAGCCAAACGGTGTCCAGTGAATACAGGAGCTTGCTGAGATCATATTTTCTCTTACGGCCCGCTGCAGCATGAGACCACACCTTGCTCAGATCTTTGAAAATCTTTCTCGTTTCCCCGAGTCGCCGCGAAACTTCCGACGTCGCTTTGCCATCACATGTGATAAGACCTCCACGGTAAGCGATTTCCCTGGCAGTTTTATTGTTTCACTTCGGGGTCCGGAAATGGACCCCCGAGTGGAAATTTGTATTTGTACAGCTTTCCTCCAATTCAATTCTAATCCATATTTCGCGCCTTCTTCCAGAATAGCTGTAAGCAGTTGTTCCATATTATTTAATCGCTTCGCTCATTCCGCCGACCCTCGAGCGCTCTATGGGGCCTCTTTGAAGCCTCTTGGGGGCCTCTTTGGGGCCTCCTAGGGGCCTCTTGGGGGCCTCTTGGGGGTCTCTTGGGGCTCCTTGGCGGCGTCTTGGGCCCCCCTTGGGCCTCTGGGGTGGCTCTTGGGGGCCTCTTGGGGCGGGGTAGTCGAGTGCACCCCCCTCGGAGGCCACGATCCTCGTGAGGGGTGTCGAAAAAAGGCCCTCAAAACCATCTCTGATACGACCCTGCCAGGGGTCGCCCGGGGTACTTTTCGCCGGGGGACCCCCAGGGGCCGCCCTGCGCGCGCGAACTAGAAGTATTATTTAGCAGTTACCGGAGATCTTAGCACGCCTCTGGCCCGTTGGGCCGGCGAATTTTTGTGTTGCGATATCAGCAGCGTGTCGTCTGCGTACAAGATATCAGGGGTCTACATAATCCGGTTCTGGTAAGTTTGCCAATGCGTCGTGGAGCATGACTGTTTGCAGAATAGTGAGCAAATATGGTGATAGCGGGCACCCCTAGGCTATTGCAGCTTGTTGCCGCCGTTCCGAGGAGCATCCTGTGTGGTCCATGATCGTGATAAATCTTGCGCTGTAAATCGGCCTTACAATTTGCACCATTTCCACAGGCAGCCCAAAGCGTTGTAAGGATTCACACATACAATCGGGCTTCACTCGGTCGAATGCTCTGGCCCAGGCCAACATCAACAAGATAACCCCACCATCGTCCCTTTGATGAGTTGCATCGATCATGCGCCGGACTAACATGAGTGCGTCTGCCGTGCCGCGCTTTGGTCGGAAACCATACTGCGAATGTCTCATTCTGGATTCGCTCCCGCCTTTGAGGATCCGTTTCAAAAGTAACGACGCCACACCTTTGTAGCCAACAGGTAATAATGATAACGGTCTGTAGTTCTGTACTGCATAAACCCTTTTTTGAATAACAACACAATGTTGGCGCGCCTCCAGGAATCAGGGAGAACCTTTGCATTCCAGCATTGTTGACACATGTGCAGAAGGATATCGCTCAGACATGAGCATCTTCCAGAAATCTGGTGGTATGTCGTCTGTTCCTGCTGCTTTGCCTCCCTGTAGTCCGCGAAGAGCTTCTGCCAATTATTCGGCTCTGAATGCTGCAGTATTCACTGGAAGCTCATCGCCTAGCTTGTCGTTGCTGTTTTGCTAGGCGTCGCCAAATTTGTACTGCCATTGTACTGTTTCAGAATAGTCCGCCAAAACATCTGGGCGCTCAGCTGTGTCCGATCATGCTCCATCTGGTTTCTTGATGTTCGTGTGATTCACTACTTTGGGTTTTCGTAAGGACCGCACGGCTGACCAACTGGCTGACCCCACCAAGTCATCCAACCATTTTGCTCGGTCTCGCTTACCAGATTCCCGCACCAGTGCATTCAATCGTTTCTCTTGAAAGTGGCTTCCATTTTTCGGGCATTCGTTTGAAACAAATTCTAAAGTGTCTTGGACTGTCCATGTTTGTTTCGGTTGCAATTGATGCTTCGGGAGATCAGTCGCCGCCGTCGAAAAAACATGTAGGTTCTTCTTCAAAGCGTCGACGTTGGAGGTTGGAGGCAAGCCCGTACCGTAGCAGCACGTACGAATTGATTCGTCAAGTTCCGCTTCACCTCCGGATTTTTGAACGTTTGTTTGTGCCAGTTTCGTTTGCGCGATTTCGATTCTTTCTGAAATTGTGTGGTGGTTTCAAATATTTCCAAGAATTGGTGAGAATTCAAAGCCGCGTCCCTATCACCCCAGCAATCACTGATTAGAGACTTTTGCGTCAGGTGGCACAAGACATGATCGATCTGCGAGAATTTCGAAGAGGTAAATTCTTGATCTTTCGGGTGGGTCCCGTTACTCTGGCAGGTGACTTTCATGTCGTCAGGGTTGTCAAAATATGTGGTAACTACGGCTAAATCGTGTTGGACACAGCACTCCACCAGAAGATGTCGATTCGATATTTGGTTTGTTTTTTTGGCCCCGCATTCGCCTGTACCGCCCAAGTTCCGACGAAAAACATGGGGCCCTATGATCTCCTCCTCCCCGGCCCCAACGTACAAGAGTTTAGCATTGAAGTCGTCCGTGACCATAGTAGCGCTATGTGTTGTTGCTGGCCGGATATAATTGTCCAGCTCGTCGCATAATTGTTTGCGGTTTGCGTAATCATATCCGGAATGCGGCTCGTAGACGTTTACCAGGGTGAGCATGCCGCCGTTAATTTTGATTCTCAATGTGGCGATGCGCAATGTTGTCGATCAACACGAAGAGAGAGGTCTTGCAGAATGACTTCGCACAGGGACCCTCTGCCTCTGAGCTATGATAATATGAGGAATATGCATCGCATGTGTCAGGTTGGTTCGCAGGTAATCTTAGTCATCTGACCAAACACATGTGTCTTTGTTCATGCTCGTCCTCCTCCTCCTCCCCTCCTCTTCTGTGCCTGTACGCGGCCGCCCGCCGCGAAGGGATGGGGCCGCGGCCGACTTGAAAAGAGTTTGTCTATTATGATATGTGTTTTTAGGGCAGTGGATGGCGAGCGAATCTTCATCCTCTACTTCCCTCCTCCGCTATTTCCTCTGGCGCTATCTCTTCCGTACGTTTAATGCTGGTTTAGTTTGTCACACATCTATAAATATGCATGCATGTCAAAGACAGTCGTTTTTTGTTTGTCTCTCGCTCTCTCTCTCTCTCTCTCTCTTTCTCCCTCTCTCTCTCTGTTTCCAGGCTGCCCCTCATGCTGGGTTGAGTGTTCTTGCATCAGAGTAAGTGCGCTCAGCAGCAGCAGCAGCGGCCTCCCTTACGGCGCCAGGTCGATCGACATATAGACACATCGCGGCACAACCAGCCAATGTCAGAATGGGGGCGCGAAGCGTGTTCACCAACAGTCAGCATAGAAAAGGAGCAGGAGTTTGTCCAGCAACCGTCGCTCTGCTCCTCCCCCGTCGTTCCTCGCCTTCCCTCGTCCTCAGATTCGCTCCTCCTCGCTCCTCCTCGCTCCTCGTCCTCCCTGCTCGTTGTGCCCTCGTCGCCGTCGTCCTCTCTCCCCCCTCCTCCCCCACGGCGCCAGGTCCGCCTCCTGGCGTCCAAGTCGTGTTCGCTGGACGAGCCCAGCGCGTGCGGGGGTGGCGCCCCGTTGCACACGGCCGCGCTGGGCGGGCACGCGGAGGCTGGCGGCCGTCGTTGCCGCTGGCGTCGTCGACGTTTCCGCGTCCGCTGGCGCCGTCGGCGGAGACGGCGGGCAACGGCAACGACGATGCGGGAGGAGGACGTGGGAGGGAAGAGGGCGGAAGAGGAGGAAGAGGAGGAAATTCCAAGTCTAATTCTAACTAACTGAGGCGGGGGTCCTGCTCTGGGCAGGCCGCACAGTCAATGTTCAGCCTCTGTCGGGGAGGGACGTGCCAGACTTTGGTGGCAGTCCCCTCAGAAGGCGTGACAGCACCTCACGCCCCGCTTTCGAGGCTTCACCGCACACGCCTTTCAGGATGCGGGGAGGCGCGACGGAGCAGTGTCCACCACAGACAGTGCACAACAGGGCACCCCTCAGGACCGACAGTCGGTGGGAGGGGTGACAGCGGTCGGCCATGGTCCAGGGCACCCCCGCACAAGGCCGGCGGCCCCAGGGCATCGGGGACAGGGTCGGGACCAGGATCACCCCTCTCCACCCGCGGCCCCAGCAGCTGGACACGCTGCTGAATGATGCATCTGGGCTTGCACGACATGGGCCAAAAGTCAGCGAGCTGTTAACCCACATCGCCTACACTTAATGCAAGCTCTCAGAACATCAGGGTCGTGCCCTGCATCTCGCAATCTGCAAATACGCTCGGAGAGGGAGGTGACCATCCTGCGAGTTCGCTGCGGCTCGCGGAGACCACCCCTTTCTCGGTCCGAGGAAAACAAAATCTCGCGCTGGATGGCCAAAATTCTTTTCAAAAATTGCACAGCAACGCCATCAGCACGCAACACCTGGGAAACAGAGGCTTCGCTCAACTGGGCCTTGTTCGGCCCAATCGGCGAAGCCATCAGCAGCTTTGTTGAGATACACTTCAACATCAGACAAAAACATGCTCTCGGCCTGGGCTTGGGTGGGGTGTCCCTTGGCAGATCAGTTGGAGTGAACCCCCTCGTTCTGACAGTACACGGTGATTCAGCCCAGAGATCAAGCATACTAGATTTGCGTTTAGCTCGGAGGCTCTTCCTGACACCCTTCACGACGAGAAGACAGTCACAATAAATTTGCACATCTCCAACACTAGCGCGCAAGAGCTCAATCGGCCCTCGACGATGATTGTCGCATGCTCGGCAGGGACCCACACCTGGTAGCATCGATCCTGCCGTCAGGTCCGAGATGAACAAACGACCAGGCACACCTCCTGAGCATCCAGTCTCCAGAAAACTTACCTCCTGACCCATCTATTCCCCAGACACCCCCTCGTATACGCTCCCCTCCGATGCATCTCCCCCAATCCCACACAAGACATTGAAGCGGGGGGAGAAACCCCAGGGAATCATCCAACGACGGGAGCCCACGGCACCAGAAACTCACTTTATCTTTTTGAGCAATGGCCCTGGGGGAAAGGGGGCCGGCCATCTCAATAGTGTGGTCAGGGATGTCCCGATTGCACTCACAGTACCAATATCTATGCAGCGGGGTCTCAGGGGCAGCTCCACACCTGCCGCAAAGCCCCCTATTGGCAGAGACATAACAAGCAGTGTACAAACGATTTCCAGGCCACGATCCCGCAATGATAACATTTCGCAGAGCTGGAGCTTGGCTTCGCCTAAGGAGGAGCTGCTGGCTGGGCCTCCCAGCCCCCTTCAAACTCTCTTGGGCCGTCTTGGGCCGTCGGAAAGCCGAACAGGCGCAAATGCCAAAATCCGTCAAAAGCCAAAAGGGAAATCAATGATTTAGGCCTTTTCGGGCCTTCCTGGAGGACGTCTTGGAGGGCTCTTGGGCCGTCTTGGAGGCCTCTTGCGGGCCTGTTGGGCCGTCGTAGACCGTCTTGGGTACATCTTGGGACGTCTTGGAGGCATCTTGGTTGGGGCCACCTTAGCCGTCTTGGAGGCCATCATGGGCCGTCTTGGAGACGTTTTGGAGACCATCCTGGGCCATCTTGGCCGTCTTGGACGCCATCTTGGGCCAACTGGAGGAAACATGGGCACGACTGACGCGTTTGGGGGAATTTTCCGGGTGGCCAGCGGGACAGCCGAAGCCCCAGAGGGACTTCTATCGGAAAAAGAACCAACACCAAAACCAAAACCGAGAGGGTCCAGCACGCCAGGCACCCCTTCGATGAATCGACAGGGGGCGGCGGATAGAAGACGCCTACGGCGAATCACCGCCGCCCCCTGCCTTTTTGGAAGCGCCTATGTGGCCGAACGTTGAGGCCAGACCTGCCAAGCTATCGGACCATGTGTTCGACGAATCGGCTTGGAAAGTCTTCGGGGAACACGTGGGCATCTTGAAGGTCATCTTGGCCGTCTGGAGGCCATTTGACTCTTTCTGGCCTTCTTGGAGGACGTCTTGGAGGGCTCTTGGGTCGTTTTGGAGGCCATCTTGAGCGTCTTGGAGACCTCTTGGGCCGTCTTGGGGGCCTCTTGGGGCCGTGTCTTGGGCCTCTTGGGCGATCTTTGGGGGCACTTGGGCCGTCTCGGGCCGTCGGAAGGCAGAAAAAACGCAAATGCCACAATCCGTTGCAATTTTGGCATTTTCGGGCCTTCCTGGAGGCCCTCTTGGAGGCCTCTTGGGCCGTCTTGGGCCATCTTATGGCCATGTTCGGCCGGCTTGGTGGGCTCCTGGTCCGTCTGACGCAGTCGGAAGCCGTTGGGGGGCCTCTATGGGCCGACTTGTGGCCCTCTTGGAATGCTCCAGGGCCGTCTTGGAGGCCATCTTGGGCGTCTTAAAGACACCCTGTGCCGTCTTGGGGGCCTCTTGGGGCCGTCTTGGGGCCCTCTTGTGCCGTTCTGGGGCCACCTTGGAGGCCTCTTGGGCGATCATTCGGCGATCTTTGGGGGCTCTTGGGCCGTCTCGGGCCGTCAGAAGGCCGAAAAGAAGCAAATGTCAAAATCCGTCAAAAACCTTAGGACAATCAATGTGTTTGGCCTCTTCTGGCCTTGTTGGAGGCCCTCTTGGGGGCCTCTTGGGCCTTGGGGCCGTCTTGGAGGCCACTTGGGCCGTCATGGGGCCCTCTTTGGGGCCTCTTGGGCGATCTTGGGGGCCTCTTGGGCTGTCTTGAGCCGTCGGAATGCCGACAAGAAGCAACTTCCAAAATTCTTCAAAAACCTAAGGAAAATCAATGATATTGGCCTCTTCGGGCCCTCCTGGAGGACCTCTTGGGGGCCTCTTGGGCCGTCTTGAAGGCCTCTTCGGAGCCTCTTGGGCCGTCTTGGGCCAGCTTGAGGCCATCTTGGGCAGTCTTGGATGTATCTTGGGCCGTCTGGGAGGCATTTTGGAGCCATTTTCGTCGTCTTGGAGGCCATTTTGGCCGTCTTGGATGCATCTTGGAGATCATCTTGGGCCGTCTTGGAGCCATCTGGAGCAGGGAAAACCTTTGCAACCAGGTTTTGAGATCCTTTCCGGGTGGCCGGCGGGACGGGCCGAAGCCCCAGGGGGGGTTCTTCTGGAAAAAGAACCAAAACCAAAACCGAGAGGGTCCAGCACGCCAGGCACCCCTTCGATGAATCGACAGGGGGCGGCGGATCGAAGACGCCTACGGCGAATCACCGCCGCCCCCTGCCTGTTTGGACGCGCCTATGTGACCGAACGTTGAAGCCAGACCTGCCAAGCTATCGGACTATGTGTTCCCCGAATCGGTTTGGAAAGTCTTCGGGGAACACGTGGGCATCTTGAAGGTCATCTCGGCCGTCTGGAGGCCATTTGGACCCTTTCGGGCCTTCTTGGAGGACGTCTTGGAGGGCTCTTGGACCGTCTTGGAGACCATCTTGAGCGTCTTGGAGGCCTCTTGGGCGATTTTTGGGGGCACTTGGGCCGTCTCGGGCCGTCAGAAGGCAGAAAACAAGCAAATGCCACAATCCTTCAAAAACCCATGGGAAATCAATGATTGCTAAGTCTTTACGGCCAGTGCCGCCGACCCTGGATACCTCAGCCCTCGAGGGTGACGGGATGCGTGATAAGACGTCGGAGGTAAATGGTGACGTGGCGGAGGAGGAGGAGGTGGAGGAGGAGGAGGAGGAGGAGGAGAGGAGGAGGAGGAGGAGGAAGAGGAGGATGAGGAGGAGGAGGGGGAGGGGGGAGGACGGACGAGGAGGAAGAGGAGGAGAGGAGGAGGAGAGGGAAGGAGGAGGGAGGAGGAGGAGGGGGGGGAGGAGGAGGAGGAGGAGGAGGAGGCGGAGGAGGAGGAGGAGGAGGAGGAGGGAGGAGGAGGAGGAGGAGGAGGAGGAGGAGGAGGAGGGAGGAGGAGGAGGAGGAGGGAGGAGGAGGAGGAGGAGGAGGAGGAGGAGGAGGAGGAGGAGGAGGAGGAGGAGGAGGAGGAGGGGTCAGGAGGAGGAGGAGGAGGAGGAGGAGGAGGAGGAGGACCCCCACATATACGGCATGGGCAAAAACATGAGAAAATGGGGCCTGGGGGGTGCGTATCTCAGTGGCGACCCCCCCCGGGACCCCTCTCGGGACCCCCCCCCCGCCGGGGAAGGGGCTTCCTTTCGACGCATTTACAACGTTGCTCATTTTCGTTTTGGTTGGCGCGCTTGAGGAGGAGGGGGAGGGCTCAGGGAACGGGCGGGTAGCGCCACACGCCGACAGGGTCGGCGGATTTTGGCCTTTTCGGGCCTTCCTGGAGGCCCTCTTGGAGGCCTCTTGGGCCATCTTGGGGCCATGTTCGGCCGTCTTGGTGGGCTCCTGGTCCGTCTAACGCCGTCGGAAGCCGTTTGGGGGGCCTCTATGAGACGACTTGGGGCCCTCTTGGAATGCTCCAGGGCCGTCTTGGAGGCCATCTTGGGCGTCTTAAAGGCCTCCTGTGCCGTCTTGGGGGCCTCTTGGGGCCGTCTTGGGGCCCTCTTGTGCCGTTGTGGGGCCACCTTGGAGGCCTCTTGAGCGATCTGTCGGCGATCTTTGGGGGCTCTGGGGCCGTCTCGGGCCGTCGGAAGGCCGAAAAGAAGCAAATGTCGAAATCCGTCAAAAACCTTAGGAACATCAAGGTTTTTGGTCTCTTC